ATGTTTTTGGTCCCAGACTCCTTTAAGAATCTGATTAAAACTATGAACTTTCTCTTAAGAAAAATGCACATAAGAGTGCAAACAGATTTCATAAATGCTTTCGGGGATTCAAGGACCATCTGAATTCTATGCATGACTCACCAGAGAAAAACCTATGCCCAGTAAGATGTCTAAGAATCCTTTTACTTCCAATATTCCACAAGTCTCTAATGTGGCCAGCAGGTTTGGCTTAAGGCAAAGTTGTGTGGTAAATACTTCCCCATATTCTTCTCATTTATCTTTAGTATTCCTTTCTTGTTAATTGTACTGAAATTGACAGGGTCTCTACTGAGAGTGGATTTACCTGATAAGATTACACTAATTCCTAGTAAAATAAAACCCTAATAAGGAATTTGAGGCGACGCATTTACCCTTCCCAATAGAGTTTGCTTCTGCAAAAAGGGCACAGGGGGAATAGCCAATAAGAACACCCTTGAAATATTAGTTTTTCAAACCAGTGGCAGGTATGTGAGTGGGTTTTTGTGCATTATAATACGTTCAATGAATATTTTATTGTGTGTGATAGGTGACCTTCCGCTCTGTCTATTCATAAGAGTGTTTCTTTCTCTATAGGGCTTTGCCCACATGTGCATACATGAATGCAGGCTATATAAAGTGACTTTTGTGGGCCCTAGCTGAATCTCCTGTCACCAAGTTCTGCTTGTTGCTAATTGTAAGAACTTTAAAAAATCAATAAAAATAAAACCACTCCTGGTTTGGATTCTTGTCTTAGTACGTAAATCCAAACAACACTCCTTTGCTCGATTTCCCTGAGTACTACGTTTGATTGGAAAATCCAGTGTTTATTCACATCCAAACTATAATTTTTAGTACAATGTATTCTGGACATTTTTCCAATAACAAATTAGGTTTCTTTCAGGCTGCAAACTTGCCCTAACATACAGTCACATCATTAAGTTTTATTTTGGGCACTACATTTTGAACCATTTATTTCTTTCTTTATCTTATGCCTAAAGAATAGAAATTCAATTAGCAAGTTAAAATTTACTACATTGGTTTTGCAAAGAATCATGATCTTGAGTAAAGTGGCATTTTGCATTTGACACTGGAGGATTGATCTTGTATAGAAACAACTTTCCACCCATTCCCCTTCACTTTGTTCCTAGACTCAGTATATTTCTGCAAAATGAATTCTATTTCCCACCATTTTCCATAATCAGTTCAGAGACTATCCCCCGAGGACAAACAAAACATACTGGTAGCAGATAGAACAGAAAACTCTGGCAAGGTAGGAAGGAGTTTAGCAAGTGGTCGACCCTATAACTGCTTGAAATTGTGGTACTGAGAAATACAGGATCTCCCTAATGTTGCCATAACACCATCACCCCAAGACTGGGGATTTTTCCATTAGTGCTGTGTATTCCCTGAATTTATATTAATAAGTTCTTCTTTTATTTTCTGATTTAAAAAAATAATGATTAATAAAATTCAGTTGCAGTATTATACTTTACCGAAGGTACCATTATAACCTGAGAATCGGCAGTAACATTCTTTGGCTTGAAAACACCTTAATTTCAAAACACCAAATCCATACTGAGCATTTTATTGTCTATCAAAGCAGTGTAACTTGGGGAAAATTACTTAACATCTCTGAGCCTGTTTTTTTGACTATAAAATGAGATCAACAGTATACCTAAAATATAGAGTTGTTTTGATGAGTAAATAAAATAATGATTGTAAAACCATTCATATAAAACACAATGCCTGGCACATTGCCAACTGTCAGGCCATCAAATACCTTTGGCATCCACAAAAAATATTTTACTTAAACAAGGAATTAATAAGATTAATACTCTAACTCATAACTCCCACCCCAAAATAATTTGAATAACTGAGTTTGAAAATGTCTTTTAATCTTCTAATTTTAGCACTTTATATTTTATTGATGTTGATGAGTTAATTCTGTGCAAGTGCATGGCCAGACATAAAGCACTTTACATATTATAGAATACTAAACAAATTTTAGTCACGATTAAATCATAACTATTAAAAATATTAAAAATCATTGGAATGTGAGGATTCCTTGTATTTAAAACCGTAGGCCTGATGGTATGAATACATTTAGAAAAACTACATTAATCATAATCTATACTGTTCCATGTAATCTTTTATTTACAGTATGACAAAGAAGCCAACCTGAGACCTAGTAATTTTAGAATCACAGGTAAACATTAAATAATAATGAAACATTCATTATAAAGGAAATTATCTCCTCAAATCTATATTAAGAGCTGAAACTTTTACTTTGCTTCCACTTTAATATATTTGATATTTCAGAGTTGCTCTAAGGGAAAGAATAAAAGCATGATCTGGGTCTCTATTCTTAATTTAAGAAGGCTTGACCTTTTTCTTTTTTTCTTTTTCTAGATCATATATATATATGTATGTATATATAGGCAGAGCCATGAAGTGTAGTTTTGAGTCCATTTAATATTTGACCTTGCCTCTGTAACTAAACAAGAGAAACCCTTGCTACAGATAATGTAACTACAAATAAATCACCTATTTCATAGGTGCCATAAGACACTGGCCAGGCGGAAATTATTTTGGTAAAAACATTGTCTTAAGAGTCAAAAAACCATGTTTCAGATCCAAACTTTATCATTAGTTAACTGTGAGACTTAAACCAGATTCCTTCTTTCTTACTTTCTTCATCTTTAACATGAGAGCTTAGACTATACCATCACTCATATCCCCTTCAGCTCTGATATGCTATTATTGGACCAATTGGGAGTGAAAGTTCAGAAGTTCCTATAGGATTGTTTTCTTTGGTTCTAGTCAAACATCTAGAACAAACATCTTTGGAATTTTCTAGCTGAAAATTCCAAAGATGTTTGTTCTACAAAAGGAGAAAGACATGCCTACATCCAAAGCTTATTTGGTGGAAGCAGGTAGGTGGAAAGTGAGGATATCAAGAGGTGAGCCAGTAAAAAGTGGCAAGAGCTATGGGTTTTCAGAAATCCAAGTAATATTTCTATTCTTTACTTACTAAAATCTTGTGGTTCTTAATAGGCCCAACCCAAACCCTTTGCCTCCTGGAAGACTTGCCTGACGTCTATAATAGTATTGTATCCATTACTCTAGCTCTCTGAGATCCTTGCCTTCTTTGAAACCTTACAGCACTAGATATGACATTCTTGGGCCCTTATTACATTCATGTTGCCTTATATTTGGGGCAATTTCATTATATATATTTGCATTATATATATTATTGCCATATATATATGTCTTATCTGTTTAATTGGATTTTAAAGAGTTGCTGGGACATGGTATCCTTTCCTTTGCCATCAGGCCTCTGCCACTCTGCCCTTTATTCTTACCTCCTCAGTTGAATTTAATCCACTGCTCTACCCTTAGGAGTTATTCAATATATGTTTGCTGAATGAAGCTGAGACTGTGTGAGGAAAGAGAGCATCACAATGAACTCTAGACACACTCAAGCAAGAAGAAAAAATATTTCTCTAAACAAACAAGCATAATATTATCCACATCATCTGCCAGACCCCAAAACACAGAATCAAAAGAAAATGCCAGTGCAATATATTTCTGTCTGTTGTCAATATGTCTGGTCTAATACACATTTAGGTTAGTTTACTCTTTGGTTGGGCTCAGTGGCTCATGCTCGTAATCTCAGCCATTTGGGAGGCTAAGGCGGGTGGATCACTTGAGGCCAGGAGTTCAATACCAGCCTGGTCAACATGGTAAAAACCCATCTCTACTAAAAATACAAAAATTAGCTGGATGTGATGACGTATGTCTGTAACCCCAAGCTACTCAGATGGCTGAGGCATGAGAATTGCTTGAGCCCAGGAGGCAGAGGTTGCGGTGAGACAAGATTGGGCCATTGCACTCCAGCCTGAGTGACAGAGCAAGAATTTGTCTTTAAAAACAAAACAAAAACACCAAAACCTCTTTTCTCTCTTATATTTTTCTCCAGTTGCTCAAGGCGATTCTCACTAAAGCTAGCTTATGACAAAATCGTTATTTTGCTTTTAGCAGTTCAGTTTTCCTATCCTTGGATCTCTTCAATTTTCCTTTATATTCTGTTCTCAACATGTACTCCTACTTTTACAGTTCTAAACTCATTCACACCAAGGTTTTCAAATAAGTATATTTCTAGGAGAATGAGAATTTTCAAATCAAGACTTCAGAAAGAAAGAAATTCTTGCCCCTACAGGACTTGCGTTTCAGGCATAGTGGAGGCAATATTTTGAGGTAAAGAGCCCTCCAGGTATTCCCTATAACATACTACACAGGTATGTCTTGGCACGAGGCTGAACCTGCAATAATATATTTTTTTCTTCCATGGCCTATGTCAAAAGTCCCTTTACTTTGATCTAGAGGTATTACCCAAGTCATGGGTATTACCTCCAGCTGCTTCCTGTTCATCTACCTTTGGGAGAGTGGGGGAGGGGGACATTAGGTGCCTAATACAGTGTGGCACTGGTCTCAAGGGTCTATAACTCTGGGGCTCCTTGGAACACAATCTTCAAGAGCCTGTGGCAGTGGGGTCTGGGCTACAGAAAACCAACTTCTTTTCATCGGATCCTGCCTAACCACTTGAGAGGAAACGGGGGCTTTACCTGCACTTCTTGGTAATAGGGACCTTGAGGCCAATGGGAAATGGGTAGACCGGAAGTGGAAAGTGGATTGTAGCTCCAAATTCCTCCTAAGGAGTGGTGTATTTAATTCAATGTCAGAATTTTAGAGGTTTGTGTATTCAAGAATGCTCAAGGCAAAGATCATGCTCACCTTGACCTCACCTACTGGGAGGTTTCTAGGGAACATTCTTGAGAATGTTCACTTTGGTAACTGAACACAGTGAGAGGCTGTGAGAAAGGATCGCCCTAAGGTTGCAGTGGTCCACTATCTATGGAAGCAACTCGAGGGATCCCAGGTTCAGCGAAGGACTCCATAGACAAATAGGCTGTGTGTTATCATGAACTCAAATCTGAGTGCAACCACAGAAGACAATGCACTGTGGCCCTAGAAATAGAAAGGAAAATTTATTTTCCTAAGTGTGAAGCTTTGCAGGCTCTACATACAGCCTGTAGTGTAGCCCTGCATCATTAACAGGGGTGGGCGGGGGGTGGAGAGAATGAAAGCAAAAGAGCACGCTGGCTGCCCCCTGGATAACGGAAAGGTTCAGTGTAAATAGAGAGTGGCTTGCATAATTCACTCTGACATCTTACTACTATGTTTTTCAACATGGTAGCGGTTAGATATTCCTGATAATTTTTTTTTCCTTTTACTTTCATAATTTTCCTTTTGGCTTTCTTTTATTTTGTATTATTTTTACTTTTATTTATTTTCTTCCTTCCCTCCATCTCTCCTGCCTCCCTTCCTTTCCTTTCCTTTCTCCTTTCCTTTCCTTTCCTTTCCTTTCCTTTCCTTTCCTTTCCTTTCCTTTCCTTTCCTTTCTTTTCCTCTCCTTTCCTCTCTTCTTTTTCTTTCTCTTTTTCTTCCTCCTTCTTTTTTTTTTCTTTTGCTAGTGAAGGAGAATTGGATTGGTCATTTTCAGAACAGGGAGCCTAAATTGATGCACAGATCAGCAGCATCCTTGTTGGAGTGGCCGTCACATGAATTCTTTGGAGATCTCTGAAGAAAACAGAAAGAAACTGAAACGGTAGGTTCTAATTATTTATGCATCATTAGCTCTCATCTGCGTTTTTCCCTTAATATCTAAAATTGGACTCTTCATGCAAGATCTGTACAACTTGTCAAGTCTAAGGACATTTATGGATATAATGAACTTGGACCATCCTTAAATGTTATTTTTTTGGTATTTGCACAAACAAAAATAATTGTGTGGTGGGCTGCCAGAGGAGGGAGGCAACTTTAAACTTGAGAAAATATAAGTTTGACATGGAGAGATTTTTAGTAATGTGATTAGCTCAATTGATATTGAGTAAAACATTCCTATGAACATTTGTAATTTAACCTGTTTTGTATTAAGTAGAGTTGCTTACATGAAGATGCAAGATAATTTTTATCTACTTGTTGCTATTACACTTTGGGAGTGCTATTTTTATCTTCTGCATAATTAAACTGGTTAACTTTGTGTCCTTTTCAAAATGAGCTATTATTTAAAAAATGAGAGCTATAATATTTCAGGACCTTAGCTAACATATATACATGTTCCTATAAGATTATGTAAGTTACTTATTTTCACTGTAAAAGTTAATTGTTGCAATTAATGATAGATATAAACATTCTGTTTTTAAACACGTTTAGGAAAACTTGTTTATAATGAAAGAAAGGGAAAATAAGAAACATAACAGGCATAGTTGGTCTGTTTTTCATAGATAAGCTCTATCTATAATAGTAAGTAATCAGCACATTAAAAAATCGACAATGGTTAAAATGATTTTAAATTTAATTTGCATTTCTTGATACTCAAAATTGACTTATTTTGACAAAATGTAAGTGCAATTATTTCCTTGTTTGCCTGTTGTTTCTTTTTTGTGCTCCAAGAGAAAATGTTTAGGATGGTACCTTTTGGCTTTAAACCATATAATGACACTATCAATCATGTGTAACTGCCAGGAGCTGCATTCAAAGAATAAAAGAAACAAAGTCATGAATTCCTGCTTGAGAGAGAGTTGGAAATGAGGAGGGATGTGGTACAAAATGACCCAATATTAAATCTCAAATAACTTTCCTGCTCCCTCCTCTACTGTCATCAGTAATGTATATGGACTTTATTTTATACTGCTCTAAATTTTCCATAAAAGAAAAAGTTATAGTTTTATTCAATAAGCAGAACTATATGCTTTAGAGAGCTTTGGGTCATTCAGCAAAAAGTATTTTATTTTTCTTTTAGCTTCTGTACATATCAGGCATAAAAACAAAAAATCATTGAACTTATAGAGAGGATTAAAGTTATTCCACCCAGGGTAAGATTATACCAGTCACACTGGCAAACATTTGGATATGCCAAGAAGTTTGTATCCAAGGAGGATATACTTTTAGTTACAGATCATGTGCTTTGCACTTGTGAATACATGTACTGCTCTGCTTTGCTATATGTTTGTAATAATATTTTTATGAGACAGGAACCACCTAGTGTATCTATTTTGTTGGGGCCAGTTTAATATGATGCTGAATACTATAAAGATTAATAAACACAAAGTGGGTAATAAATTGATCCTAACATCTCACTGAATTTCACCTGGAGAGCCCTAGGAATGAATGCACTTCATGATCTCCCTTTGTGCTAGGTAACTGAAATGAAGAGGACAAAAAAGCATATCTTCTGCATTCTACCCATAGATACTTTTGGCACCAATCAGCTACACAGAACTAGAAAGGGAAGTAAACTCCTTTTCCTGATCTCTATCCAATCCTGATAAAAGGGGAGCACAGAAAGTCCCCCTTCCACTGCCCTTGACATTGATCCCCCTAAAGTCTTCTTTCTATGCCATAGGTCTCAAGAATCAGTCTCTGGATCCCAAGTCTGAGAATAAGAAATTATCAGAAACAGATTCAACTCTTGTCACTTCAGAGCAATGGCAAACATCTGAGATTTTTATACTTTGGGAAATAAAGTAGATTCATAGCATACATTGTGCAGTTGGAAAAATTGAGACTCACAGAGGTGAAGTGACTGGGTCAAGTACCTCTGTGTGTGACAGAGACAAAGGTAGAATCCAGGCTTTTTCATACCTTGTCCAGTGCTCTGTTCATTTCTCCTTGCTGACTATCAAGATTTGTGGATTAAAAGACATGCATTATTCATTGGGAAACACTAAAAGATTTCATGTTGAGAGCATTCAAGAATCTCTCAATACCAGGGCATACTTCAGGCTTCTCCTAAGGGCCCTAATATTGTAACAGGCCTTGAGTTTCTGGGCTTTACCACTGTTTCCTTCCAAGAATAGGAAAGAGTTTTTTCCACTGTGCTAACAAAAAAAAATGCAAATTGATACTACATGCTGTAATACAAGATTAACACAGACCAGGACATATATTGGATGCTTACGTGCTGTATTGAATGTCAGAGCAATATTATGGCCAATTTATTAGACAAGAGAGAGTATTTAGTAGGTCCTGAGGTCTAGAAGATTCCAGATTTGAGAAAGGAGTCAAGATTTTATGGTTTCTGTCTGAAATAAACAGGCCTATGCAGCCGGTTAACTAAGGTTAGAGTGTGAGGAAGATAAATATGTACAGTAAGTGGTAGTATGTGAATCCTGAAAAGGATACAGTAATTAGTGGATTGACTATTACTGTTTGTCATATAACTAAGTGCTATCTGATATTTGAAAATTAAAGTGGGTTCTTCTGGTATAGTCTTTGGAAGGTAAACAAAGAGTATGCTCCAGAGGCATCACTTTTCTTTGCAGCAACAACTGCATTAACAGCAGCTAGGGAACAAGATGCAGACAGAGTTCCTAACAAATAATCAGATATGCAAGATGTTAGCCCAAATCAAGTCTGTATAGACTCTGAAAACTTGGTTATGGGTCAAGAAGTTCACTAAATTTAGTTATATATAGTGAGGAAACTACAATTTGAACCATTACCGGGATCAGTCATGCAGAAGCATGACTTGTGCCCACTGTGGGAGGCAGGGCTGCCAATTCAGACTCAGTTGCATCTTGGATAGCATAATTTTATGTCACTGGAAACCTAAAATAAATGCAAATATCTGTCACCAAGTCAAAAAAACCATCAACTCCTATCCTACTCCCTGACATATATTTGCTTCTTCAAAAAGCTTTTGCAAAATGTCACACTACTTAGAGAAGAAAATAAGGTTTTCTCTACATTCTTAGAAACACATGAAAGACCTTAACATTGTTATTATTACTTAGCTAAATGTTTTTTCAGCTTTACTTGGCAGATCAGATTCAAGTATTTCTTATAAGCTAATCACATGTTACCAGATATTTTTTATACATTGATGACTTTTTTTTGAGACAGGGCCTTACCCTGTTACCTAGACTGAAATGCAGTGGGCATGAATATAGCTCACTGCAAACTTGATCTCCTCGGGCTCAGATGACTCTCCTACCTCAGCCTCCCAAGGAGCTGGGACTGTAGTCACATACCACCACACAAGGCTAATTTTTGTACTTTTTTGTGGAGACAGGGTTTCTCCATGTTGCCCAGGCTCGTCTGGAACTCCTGGCCTTAAGCAATCTCCTGACCTTGGCCTCTCAAAGTGCTGGGACTACAGGCATGAGCCCCTGAACTTGACCCCAATGACATATTTCTGTATGATAAAATGATTCTTACAATATAAGCATAGGATAACAGTGATGAAATAATTTACTGTTCAAAGTATTTAATCTTTTTTAGGTAATACTGATGACTTATAATTTACTTATTTAAAACTAAAAGTGTGTTATTTTTGGTATGTACTCCATTTGAAGTGTCAGACCAAATGGTGTGCTGAAAAATGAATAACATGTAGAATATAGACTGATTTATTATTTCTCATATATGTTTTTACAATTAAATACTATCAGCAAAGTATATTATGAGAAGAAAAACCCTACAGAGTCTATTTTTTTAAATTTACATTTTATTTTAATCTGTAGTTTCCTGGCCCCTAGTAATTTTGATACAGAAAGACTTACTCATTTAATTTTCTAAAGACATATTGCTTTAACTTGTTCTCCCACATCCTTATGGCAATAGCGTTCTGCTTCTGTATTCTTTGGTCCAGTTTTGATTGGGATCTGTTTTTATTTTTACCTTTTTTTCCCTTTATTTTTACACCTTCTACTTATAAATGTACCTGTTGATTGCTCTCTCTTCTAAAAAAGTTAGGGTTAAAACTAGGTAGTGCTAATGTTGCAATACTTCCTATAACTAACTCAGTTTAACAAAGGAAAGTTCAGTAATTTGGTCTAGCATTAGTGTCTCTGAGGAAGAACTACTGACTGTAGAAAAGAGTTTTGTATCCAAAAAAGTCACAGTGCATTTCAAGGAATCTGGTACGGTAATGCCTTTCTCTCTGAAATGCTATGATTTCTAAAAGCTTATTTGGGTTAAAAAGAAAATTCTACCTAGCTGAAGCAGACTATGAATAAAGCACACTAGACTGTAAAGTGGCTGGTCTAAATAATCCATTTGGATTATTTAGGGAAGGCAGATTTGGGGCCCAAGTTATTCTGAGTAAGTGATCATATATTGGATTTAGGGATACCCAGTTTGTCTCTGACATCTTGCTGAAAGGCTCTTTTGACCATGGAGAATAGATTAAACCTCCTTCAGTTTTTTTGGCATGAAATTTGGTTAAGCAAACACTCTGAGTACATTCTGCAATTTGCAGAGAGAAAAGGGCTGCTTTTCAGAAGACTGTAACCTGGATTATATTTGATGTATAATTATTTGTTAATGACTGCTTTAGTTCTAAGTTACAGTTTTAAGAATTTTACATTATGAAATATTATCTTTGTGTCTGTTTGTGTCTCTTCCAGGGGAAAAATTACTCAGAAAATTTAAAACTAGCTGACCTCTGGGAATAATTACATTTGAAAACCTCTGTGACATAGTCCAATAGAGAAAAAATATTAAAGTTAATCACCCCAGGTTATAAGTTATTCCTTGACTGGGACTTGGGCCAAACATGAATGGCCAGAGTAAAACAACAGGCTAAATCAATATCTGAAGAATATGGGCATGATGGTTAATCATGCTGGCCCCTCCTTAAATGCTATGAAACCTCTGCATGTGGGCTACTTGAATACAATACATCCAGATGCAGTCTTCTACCCGTAATTTTCATTTAGTGATGCACCTGGATACTGATTGGAAAAATTTTGGACACACAATAGAAATGAAAATTGATAGTAAATCACCCTAATATATTCCCCTCTAAAGACTGTATGATGTTGCTTTGAAAATTTTAAATTTAACCTATTTAACATTTGCATGCATTAACCGACTTGTCATATTGAGTAAAATAACATGAAATACTTCTAAGAAGTGGTGATCAGTTCTTTATATTTTTCTGCAAAATTTCAGCACATTAGTTGAAAAGATAGAATTGATTTGGTTTCATATGTAAAAATTTGTTTTCAAAATAAAGATTTAATTTCATATAACCTTTTCTTGGGTGACAAATGATTTTTAGATTGTAATAATTTATTTTAGAATGAAAATTAGGTTTGGTTTGCTCAGTCTCACTCATAAGCATACTGATTTTATTTTCTTCATGGGTAATACTGAGCCTTTGGCTTTGTTCTATTCCCACATCACTGGGAGTTCAGTCTAGTTTCTTTGGCAAAGGAAAAATAATAGTTTTCTAATATGATTTTGGATTTTGGACTTACTTTTAGTTCTCAGAGCCTTCTCACAGCTCCATACATGAGTTGCAAAGCAGGTCCAAAGTCACACCATGAACTAAGGGTCAACATCAGATTCAGACCATCTTGATATGTTAATTATCTCCCTGTGGAGCTTATATTCTATTCTAAATCAAGTATATTTGTAGTAATAACTCTAGAAAAAGCTATAAAACATCTAAGCAGCTACTCAGGATCTAAGACTTAGCAGGTTTTTCGAACTTATCTACCATTTGCTCTTTTATATTTAGTGTTCTATCATCAAAAATAATACATATTTTTAAATTGTATGCTTAAAATATACTAAGGATGGGGCAAGATGCCTTACATCATTTTGACAACAATAAATGTACATTATTTATTTATTTAAGCAATAAATAAGTGTAGATTTATTTTCTCCATTTTACAGATTGAGAAACTAATGTTCAAGAAATTACATAACTTTCCCAATGATATACAACTGTTTTTTCAACACCACTTTTTGTATGATCAACACACAAAAAGATGGGTATATTTAATATATATAACTTAGCAAGTATGGAGATAAATATATACCTGGGAAACCACCACCACAATCTATGAAATAAACATATCTTTCTTGGTTGAATTTTAAACCCAGTTCTGTTGATTGTGAAAGCTCTTTCCATATATTATGCTGTCTCTATAAGATAAAGCTATAATTCACTATCTTGTCCCTTTCCACTTGAGAATAGAGTTGGTAATAGAAGAAATCAAGATGTAACTCATTTCAAAACAGAATGTCCTTTAATTGGATTTAGGCTAGGTGGACAAGGATAAGGAAGTGCGGAATAGGGAATAAAATGAATAAAACAGAATTGTAAAAAGCAAAAATTAAATGCTTTAGTTATCATCAACCAGTCTTTATGATGTGTTTACTATTTTTACAAAATATAACCTCTGCCCTCTTAGAGCTTATTTACTTGAGGAGAATAAACTAGCACATATTAAATCTGATTATACAAAAGAGATTTAGGAAGAAGGTATGTTACTTCAAGGAACTTTTTGCCTTGAACAGTCACCATCCATCTACACTTAAGCTGACATAACGTAAAAAGAAAATCATATTAGAACTTTTGCTTTCTTATACATAATCTAATCTATGACATGCTAAGGTTTAAGAGCAAAGGTTCTGAACTCCAGATATAAGGCTCTGAGAGATTAGAACAAAATGTGTGGTTTTAAATGTAAGTTAAAATCAACAAAAGGAAAGGGCTCAGAAAATTTTACACAGAGGCTCTCCTAAACAGGTCTGGAGCATAGATTAATTTATGTGTTAACTTTTTTGCTGGCTTCCTAGTGCATTCTATATTGGCTATAAGGCATTAGAATTTGGGGGAAACATGGGACCCTTCATGCACAAAATCAAGTTTACACATCAACCATCAGAAAAGAGGATAGAGCTATTTTTATATTTGTGAGTAAGCTTTTTCCTTATGATCAAGGACTTGGAGTTATAGGATGTCTGTTCTTGGTTCAGAGAATACTCTATGCCTACATTACAGAGAGAATTAACTGGAATCTAATCACATACTTAAGTTTAGGAGCTCAGTGTGGTAACCATCTGATCCAGTCAGTTATCGAATCTTGAGTTAAAAGAACAAAAACACAATAACAGAATCTTAGGCCAGCCTGTCTGCTGATAATGCTAATTTTTTTCCCACCACATTCTCCTGCTCTCTACAGACTCACCTCCTCTGTCTGTGCTCCCTATCCAAGAGGAAATAGAGGAAGAATCTTGGGACACCAATTCTTAAACTCTGTTCTAAATTATGCTTTCAGCAGGCACTAATCACAAGCTTGAAGTCATGCTACTTTGGGACTGACTAGACACATAAACCTGAACAAGATACTAAGCTCTTTCATTTTTCAGTTTCTCTATCTCTGAAAATGGTATAATTGAGGACACTTCTCTCATAAGGGTATGGATTACCATGCAGATATTGAACAGGTACTTTGTATTTCTTTTGCCAGAGCTCCTCTGTACAATTGGCAAAATACCTTGTGCTACTGGATTGAAATCACACTGGGAACATTGAGTTGCATTTGCCTTTCACCTGACAAATTTCCCTTGGCACATGTCAGCATTATGCTTGGTTAAGCTTGAAGCTTGAAGTGCTTATGAGGAGCAAAATAGTTCTAAGGCTTGCAGCTGAATAAATGAAAAAGAGAGGCATAACTTTTATGGATCAGCGAATCACTGTTTTTAGAAATGCCGTATGGTGAAGTCCAACCACTTTAAGGTCTGTTGTGGGTTTTTACCCTAAATACATAGCAGCCTTCTATAGAGCTTAGCATTTGACCTGCCCAATTTAATAACTGATTTTACACATCTCTTTTTTTTTCTCTTATTTCACTTCTGCCAGGTTTTCCAGGGAAGGGACCATGTCTCATTTCTTTTAATCTTCTGTGATATCTAGCATGATGATGTGATTTACAGCAAGGTGTTGCATGTCTCATCACTTCATTCTTTTGTCCTGGTTTGATAGTTTAGCAAACTGGAGAAGCAGGAAATGGGCCAAAGAGGAAAAATAACATTTCTCTCATTTTAGTCACTTTCTTCCAGTCTTGGATGCTGGCAGAAATGAATGAACTCAATGTAAAAAGACTATCTGTGTTTCTGTCTGGGATAAGATAGAGTTAGAGAGAGATATGGGGAACGGACAGGAATAGGTTGTGGTTTTTTTCCGCATAGTTAAGAGTATGGGTTTCTACACCACTGTAAAAAAAAAGGGGGGGGGGACAACTTGTTTCTGGTGATTGCACACTGGGTGTTTGATGTAAAAAATTGACAGTTCTTAGCAACATAAATCTTACATTTAGATGGTCTGGCCACATGATGGAAAGAAAAATAGCTACACACATAATATACAATGTATAGAAGGAGGAAGTGTAATGTGAGGAAATGAACAAAAGCCGTTTAAACTAATGCTTACATTCTAGTTCTGATTGTGCCATTAACTTGTTATATAACTCAGGATGAGTCTTATTTACTTTCTTTGGGCCTCAGTTACCTTGTTTGTAAAAGCAAAGCATTCAAAGAGATTAATACAAAATTAGCAAAGGTTTAATCAAGATTAATAAAGTCTATTTTTTATTTAAAATGCTGAATCAGGTCTTCCACAAAATGATAAATTATTATAAGGCTCATTAATCATTATCTACATCACCATTGAACTTATCAATGTATGTGACATGCTAACCAAGGTGCTCAGTAAATATCTGCTGATTGAACTTGTTGAGTTACCCCATACATCGGCTGTTGAGAGGGCTCCAGTGTATGACATGAGGGATTCAAGCTGACTATAGCCCCTCTCCTACTAGTCTTTCATGCTACTGTGCTCCTTTTGGTCTAGACCTGCAACAGTCCCCATGTTTTTATTTAAGAAAGGCTGCCAGGAAAACCCTGAACACTCCCTGTGAAGGTCCTGGATACTATCTTATAGTTCTCACTCATTAAAGCATTAGCTCAAATCCACTTATCACATGTTAATGGTTTTAAGCATAAAAGCAGAAACATGGTTATATGGGACATTTTAATTGGGAGTAGTTTGTGAGAGGAAGAAATCTGTGCTAACTAAAAAAGTCTGCTTAAGACTATGGGTCTTGGTTTGGATATGGGGCCCAGGCAATTAAAGTTGTGGTATGAGGATTAAGTCAGGCCTGAAGGATAATACACTGGGGAGGAAGAACACAGGGTTTCTTCACATCTCCTCCAATATTTATCAAGAATTGGGCCTATCTGCCTAATCAAACTTTCTACTAGACTTGTCAGTGCTAAAAGTAACCTTAGAGATAATCTAGTCACTCTCTCATTCCACAGATGAAATACCGAGGTTAAGAGATAGAAGGGACATTCCCAAGGTCACACCATTAGTTAGTGATAAGGCCAAGACTAGAAAGTCGGTGTCATATGTCTCTGATTAGTACTTTTTTCCATACACTCTGTTTCTCTCAGCCTAAATGACCTGTCTTGGGAGATGAAAAAGCTTGCAAGTAAAGCAGAATAATTTTAAAGTATATGTCTATTCTGGAAAAAAAAGATGAAGTGACTCTTTAAACCAAAATCCATTCTTTGATATCTTACCTGACTCCTGTCCATAAAGCGTAATAAATTAAATGATTAAAAATTTAAAAGTGCCTAAGAATATTCACTATTTCAATAGAATCTGCTTCTAGTCAGCTAAATTTGGCTAGTGTTTATGATTAATCTATAACCCTGCTCATTCACTAAACTCTGTCCCTGCAGACTATTACTCTAGTTTGTCCTCACATATCTGACACACTAAAGTGGTGCTTGGGCTGTTCTGGTTCTGTCTTCACAAACAACATACCAGCAAGGAATATAACTGTCGCTTTGTAACTTATTGCCTAGGTTTTCTCTCCTAGCTCCCATGACAAACTGCTTTGAATTATTGGGCTTCTGGACATGCCTTTTGGTTACTCTTTTTCTACTTGGTCTGTTTCTCCCACTGTGTTATCCTCTCTCAAAGACAAAAATAATTTAAAAAGAATGTTACTGTGTATTTAATCCTCATCATTATTTTTTCCTCATCAGGTCTTTTTGAAAGGATTTATTATGGAGTTTTAATGTGTCTAGTACCCTATTTACTAGGTGCTAGAGGAAACAAGAAAAAAATAAATAGTATTTACTGAGCACTTTTTATGCGCCAAGCCCTGTCTTATTGGTTTTTACTTATGACATCTCATGTAATCTTAACCATGTTCCCCAGGAGTAGGCATTATTATTTTATTCATTTTACATGAGGAAGAAATAAAAAGAGAGAGAGAAGCAAAACAAGTAGTTCAAGATTACTCAACTGAAGCTGGCATTAGAATGCGAGTCTCTTTCAAAGGATTCCCCCAAAAGCTATCATTCTAGATAAAAATCATTGTGTTAAGAGGATTAGCTTGAAGCAAATTTGTGTAGGTGGAAGATATTGCATTGGTTGCCTTCCCTTTATCTTTCCTGCCTTCTTCTTCCCTTTGTGGAATCCTTTGCAAACACTTATGATCTGGCATCTCAGGTAATCCTACCATGTTACCCACCTAAGGCTGTCCCCCTCTATGTTCCTTTAATTCATTCTACCAAGTAAAAAATGTATTCTTTGTATTTCATTCCCTGTCCTCCCTCTATATGTATTTAATAATCAATGAAACAGTTGTGATCATGGCAATTGTTTAGAAAAGATACTAACTGAAAAAGACAGTTTTTACCCTTCAATTGTATTGTGAATTTAAACAGAGGCTGTGGGATTTTTCTAACATAGTTAACCCTAGCTAAGGGCTCCTTGTGACCAGAGAGTGACACATAAACCCTTCCACCAACATTCCTACCTTCTCTCACTCTTTCCAAAAGCTGCCATGTCAAAAAGAGTTGTCAGATGGTAAAGGGATTCTCACTCACTCTGCTTTGCTACCATTAATGGCTAAGTGTAACTGTCTATACTCTCCTTATCCTGTGGTAATTGGTTTTGGGATCTCAGTATCCACTTCTTGAAATTTTCCAGCCCTCTCTGAGCATCTTCTCCGTGCTGCATCTGACCACTGCTTTTCTATGTTTTTTAAGGCATGAATGAATTAATCAAGCCAGATTCTCCACTGCTTCCTCTGGAGACCCTATTGCTCTGATTAAGAAGTTTCAACAGCACTGAAGAAAACAGCAGGTAGTCAAATATGGTCTTGGCTTCTATTTGGGCCTCTTTCCTAAAAACAATACTGTTTAATCCTGTGGGTCCTGGACAGATAACGACAGCCTTTGATAGCCACCTGTTGCACATTTGCTGATCTGCTTGATAAATTACGAAGCAATAGCATGATTCTAATAATCAAGATACACAATATTACAGGACATGAAAAGCTGTACTTTCTGAAGTATTTGATAAAATGTAACATTGTTTTCAATAGTGCTCTGCTGAGTCCTTTTTGCCTGAGACAAAGAAAAAATGAGTCATGCTGATCCTGTCTTTATTTACTATCTTGACATTTTGTTTACTGTGAATATTTCATTTCAATTTAAAAAACACTGCATTGAAATATTATTTCTCTTCATTACTGAGTTGTTTTTCAACTCCTTAAATTTTGTCCAAGGAAAGTGCCTCACTCATCTAACTCTATCCCTGGCTCTGATTTTTATGGGCGGTCTGACCTACATTTTAGGCTTCAAAAGGGGATGTGGGAAACTAGGGTACCCAGCCTTGATTCCCATTTTGAAAGTAAGTCTATGCACAGATTAAATAAATGCTTTCAATGTTAAACTTTTATACAATATAATCTCGCGCAGCACACACTGACTACTCTACATGCATACAATAGGGTGATACATGTATATGTTGAGAAAGGAGATGCTGTTTGTGGCAAAGAAAAAATTACAGTAGGCGTAGGTGAATCACTTGAATGTTTGGCAAATTTCTATTCATTGATTGGTAAGAATCGGGTTAGGGGAAGACTTGAAAGATGCAGATTTCAGAGCAGGGAATATTTATTGTGTTTGCTTTTTGGTTCTTTGTCTGGATGCCTGTTCTTAGAAGAAATGTGTTGCCCAAGCACAAATCTTGATATCTAATCATTGTAAGGGAACATGTCTAGTGTCTAAGCCTAGTTTGAAAAATCATGAACAAAACACACAGTTCACTTAAACATGGGGGAAAAACACCCCAACCATTGTAGCATTATGTTGTACTTCTGACCAGGAGGTCAGAGTTCTAACAACTAATACAACTCCTGTAGTGCACATATCCCCTTCATGTTTAACCCAAGTATTTAATATCAGTTTGATGCAAAAATAATAGTGGTTTTTGTAATTAATGTAAGTAATGACAAAACCCACAATTACTTTTGCATCAAACTAATATATAGATTTATGGTTATCCGGAAGCCAAATTAAAGCCACTCCATATTTTTTCTTTTTTTGTTATAAGTTTTAGGCCACCCCATTCTTTCTTTCTAGTGAGACTTTCTCGTAAAAGGGAAAAGAGCCTCTGTTCAAGACCACTTGAGCCTTTCTCCCTGATGCAATCAGGATGAGTACAGTTGAAAGCTCAGTGAGACAGGGATAAATAATTAGGCACCTGTCTGAGGTATATTGTTTGTGACATTCATATTTTAGTGATTCATGTTATGTAGGGTAGCCTACACAGACAGTGGCATATTTCTATTGTCAATAGTTAATGAATACAAAAAAAACACTTAAAAAGAATGAATAAGACCTACTATTTTATAGCACAACAGGGTGATTATGGTCAATAACTTAATTGTACATTATAAAATAATGTAAAAACTGCAACTGGATTGTTTGTAAGTTGAAGAATAAATGCTCAATGGGATGGAAACTCCATTCTCCATTATGTACTTATTTCACATTGCATGCCTGTATTAAAATATCTCATGCATCCCACAAATTTGTATGCCTACTATGTACCCACAAAAAATTAAAACGATTAAAAATAGAAAAAAGTAATCATCTATTGTTTAAAATGAAGTGTTATATCTCTGTTGGAGATATTAATAGGTGAAATTACCGGTTCGTCTTTGCAATCCTTTTATGATACAAAATTCAAATTCACTGGGGGGGGGGGAATTCAAATGCATTTTAATTTATTAATAGACATGAAAATCCATAATCAAGGTATGATTTCTAGTGACAGAGAGAGAGTAAAAGAGAGACCCAACCACTACTACTACCAAGAAACAAAAAATACAAAAATAGCAAAACTTTTATTCATAGATGCATAAAGACATCCATGAAACTTTATTGAATTATTTTTTTCCTAGATACATTAGTTAGCATTCAGTCTTTGGCCACAACATTTGTGTATGCATACAGTTGTCTCCACTGCATAAAATGCTAAGAATTTGTTTATTTTATTTTATATATTTATATAGTACATACTGTAGATCTTTATACGTATTAACTTCTTAAATATTCATAGAGGTAGGTACTATTATCATCTCGCTTAACAGATGAGGCAACTGAGGCACAGGAATGTTTAAATAACTTACCCAAAGCGTCACAGCCAAGAGATGGCAGAGACAGTGTTAGAATCCAGTAAAAATGGCTCCAGAGTCCCTGCTTTTCTTGCTTACTATAAATGATGCCTTATTATTTATCAAACATTTGTATATTATGTAATATTATATATCCATACATATGAATAAATGTATATGGTGTGGAGAACAAAGGCCATTTAAAACCCAGAAGTAAAATGACAAAATCTAAAGTTCCCTTTAAAAGTTATGTGGCTTAACATGCTTATTTTAGAGAAGAAATGGGGACCTGGAGAAATTAAGTAATACTCTCAAGGTCACACAGGCATTCAATTGCAGAGGTAGAACAAGAATTCAAGACTTCTCACTCTGTCTATGACTAATTTAAGTAAAGACTACAACTTATATTTTCAAATAAATGTCATTTTTGAAGGTGAACTCACAAGGCTATATGCTTATCTTAATGACGCCATGTTTCACCAAATATTCTCATACATTTTGAAATTGCCATTGGAATTGGTTTGAGCTGATCAAGAAAAATGAGTCTTTAAACAGTGTGACCATACCATGCTTGTGAGTAAAAATGACATTTTTCTAGTTAATCTTTAACTTCACTGTTCAGACTGGTTATGAATGGCTTTTGATTGTTTCTAATAATTTACCTACCCGTAAAAAAAGATTTGTTACCAGTAAAATTATTCTAAAGAACATGATGCATGTTATGAGTGTAATTCTAAAAGACAATTCCAAAAATTGAAATATGCATGTAGCCCTTCAAAGTGACAACTTAGGAGAGACAAATTCATTTGGATTTCTGCTTTTTGATAAATTTATTATTTTAAAAAGAAACTTTATCACTATGGGGAATCTCATGTCCTGAAGGGTTCGACTCACTGATGAAGTATAGAAAGTACTATGTGTGCGTGGTGTGTAGGATGTGTTTCTTGGGTAACTTTTCTCAGATTTAGAGGCTCCAAATGAAGATGACTATTCATCCTTTCAGGCAAAAGAGATTTCATGAAGATGTATACCTTGGTGTGATATATAGAATATGATGATAGCGTACCTACAGAGGTTTTGAGAGTTAAATAATTCAGGTAAATAGAGCAAGAAAATAGGTAAAACACAAGTTAAATCGGAATAATATTATAGAGAAGATCAGACAAACTCAGTAGAAGCCTAAAGAGAAGGCCGAGGAGAGAGAAGGGAGGAATTAAAGAATATGTCAGTGTTGAAACATGGCACTATTTGTGGCATCAGTGATGTTCCCAATATTAGGAAGGGCAGGGAAATAAAAGTGTCTCAGTTTTAGATAAATTTCCACCTAAGATTGCTAGCTATTTGTTTTAACCTTCCTTGATCCCATCTGGAAAAGCTTGTCTAAATGACAGATAAATAGATAGTTAAGTAGATAAGTAGACCAGAGGCCTATCACAGAACAAATAATGAAAGTACATAACCACCTAATGGTCATCTTAAAATAAAAATAACCAGAATTTGCATATTTGTAATTAAACTGTCACTGACAGAGTCACTGACACAAACAACTGGCTTTCCAAACTATCAGAGTTATGTTCTAATCTCTTTGCACCTGATACATACTCATGTTGGTAGGTACAGTGAAGGGGCATCTGAACTCAAGCTGTTAGCCATGGCTTAGAGGTAAACATCATTACCCTAACACTTGTTTAAATTTTACAAAGGAAACAGGCAAAAAATACATTGAACTTGATTTAAATCTATCTCAAGAAGTGGCTAGTTGCTTAGTTTTCACTCTAATGAAATAAAATCATCAAAACCAACCAAGTATTATAAATAATATTATTAAAAATTCTTTTATTTATAGTCATCAGTTATGGCTTAGAAATACTTTCTCTGTTTAGGTTTTCACAACATACATAAGGGAGGGCAGTTAGAAATAAATAAATAGCAAGCTAATGCTTAACTTACATATAACCTCACTCTAGCCCTAATTAATTCCATAAGGCCAATAATATTTAGGAGTCTAGCCTTACTCTCTGAGTGAATAACGACGTAGGGGTTAAGCAATTAGCCTGTGGAAAAAATAAAAGTGAGCAAACCAGCAGGTAAATTTAATAAAAAATTATCTTTTCTCAAAAGCAGGTTTTGGTGGCCAGTGCCTGTTCAACATATTTTTAGGTACTTGTCAAGTCTCTTACCTATGGTGAGCAGGGGCTTGTCATTTCCTGCCATATGAAGGTAGCAGGCTATGATAGGGAAAGTAAAAATAGCACCACATTGCCACAAAGAAGCGTGCTCTACTCCATTTTGGTACACGTGTGTGGAGAGGAGGTGATGCTTTTTTTAACCTGACTTGTTTTTGTTTTTACTTTCTTTGATTGTAATACAATGTGGCTGCATAAATGTATCTCCACAAGAGTTGAGATTTTTTCTTATTGTACTTTAGGCTCTGGGGTACATGTGCAGATCATGCAGGATTGCTGCATAGGTACACACATAGCAATGTGGTTTGCTGCCTCCATACCCCCGTCACCTACATCTGGCATTTCTCCCCATGTTATCTCTCCCCGACCTACCCATCCTCTCGCTGTCCCTCTCTTGGCCCCTCCCAACAGACCCCAGTGTGTTATGCCCCCCTCCCTGTGTCCATGTGTTCTCATTGTTCAACACCCGCCTATGAGTGAGAATGTGGTGTTTG